ATCCAGGGCGAAACTGCCGTTCGGGCAAGCGGTGCAATTGGTCATGCCCACGTCGGGAGCAAAAGTGCCTCTCTCTTGGTGCTCTTTTCGGTGTACAACAAGAGGGTGCCCCCATGATTTATCTGACCGTCGCATGGTTGGCTTTTCGTTTGAAATCCCTTAACAAAGAGCAATGCTGATGTTCCCCTATTTAGGCCCCTTTATCAAAGCCAACCCGACCTCGGGGACAGGGCATCAGAGGAGCCGTCAGCCCTCCTTCACAGAAGTTCCCCTGCGGACATATCTTGCACTGCCTTGTTTGCTCCTCCTGGTAGAAGCCGGGATCACAAGAATACATGTCTGGCGGCGGGAAGTACCCCACTGACCCATCCATCCATGTCAAAGGCGCCGTAACTGTGAAGTTCAATGTCTTAGCACTGAAGGACGCAACAGAAGCGATGTTGCCATCGGACTGCACGTTCAGGAACTCAAAAGCCCCCAGCCGGTCACCGTTCCTATCGAAGCTCATATCACCCGACACCTAGGCTGCCCAGCACCCCTCTAAAAAAATCAAGGTACTTCGGTTTCGGAGCAATGAAAATACTACTGGGCGACCTAGACACGCCGTTGAATCCGAGCCTGCTCATCTCATCTAAGAGTGCGCGGCCGCGGACTTCACTTGCATCCACGCCCGAATGCAGGAGGTTGTTAATGGCAATGAAGTATGCGTACACCGAGTCAAAGTTACAGAATGCGATTGGGTCAAACACCGCACCTTGCAAGTGCAGGCAAAGAAGACATATACACACACACAAACACTTATTGACTGACACTGCACGTTTTTGGGGGGATGGAACCAGGAATATACAAAGCCGCACACAGAAGTAGAGATTGACCCAGGAGTTCCTGAGAACAAACGAAAGACTGCCACGAGTTCTCACCATGTCGCCTTCATCGAACATCTCATCCCCGACCAGGCCAGCAGGTAGTTGCATCTGATTCGTGGCTTCCATGTCATGTGGTGAAAGCCAGGACCACAACTGCCGCAGCTCCGGAGCCTTTGCGCCTTCACCAGAGGGTCTCAGGTACATGTAACCCACTTTCCTGCCTGCATCTGCTTGGAACGTATCCGTCGATAGTATTTGCCATGCTGGCGTCACCATGCCCTCCTGCTCAAGGACGTTGAAAAAACCGCCAGCGAAGGCGACATGGATGAGAAGAACGACAAAATGGGATCCAATCCGTTTCACAAGCTGTGCTACTTCACGAGCTTGTTCTGCATTGAAGTCTAACAATGACATCCGTCCCAAGCCCTGTCCCTGAATGCGGTCTTGCTGACCGTTGGCACGAGCAAGATCATTCAGAGATCCGAAGAGACTTTGGCCGTAGCCCTCGTCGGAATAAACACAAGCTGCTGCTGGGACATTGAAGTGTACAACCCAATGCCAAATGGCAGTAGCAAGGAAGCTGTCCGGTGGCGTGGTTCGAACAAAGAAGGGGTATTCCTTCTTGTTAGACAACTTGGGGCCCTCGGCATAGCAAGATACTTGGGGTATCTGCCGCACACCTGTCAGTGTAGCAACCGGGTCGAGGGAAGCGATTAATCCGATCACAGGCGCATTGCCCTCAAGGCCAAGAAGCAAGTTCAAGGCTTCGGACATGCCTTGGTTGTCGTTTTGGGGCCCTTAAAAATTCTATAGGAACCAAAGTGCAACCTAGATGCCCGTCTTGTCAGAATCACCATCGTCCTTCATGCTCAAACTGATGGCTCCCATGCTTGCATTTGGATGCACTCCACCAGGGATCTCGATGATTGGAGGGCCTAACCGGGCAGTCAAGGAAGCATTGAAATTCTTCTGGTAGTCGATAAAGGCTGCAGCTGCCGTTGCGTGAAGTTGTGGATTGCCGGCGAGAACTCCGAGTGCAAACTCCACACTGGCGCACCTGACAAAGCTCAACGAGAAAAGCAGCACAGAACTGCAAGGAGGCCGCACGCTGCGAAGTCCATGTCCAGCCATGGCTTCAATGAAAACGCAGATTAAAAACTGCTCCAACCTCGGCAACTCGCTGACCACCTGACCTTCTGCCACTGCACTTTAACCTACCATCCTACAGTGTTTCAGTATGCTGTGGTATACTACACACAACTATGAAATATGTACTGCATGTCAACATGGTATATGATGGCACTGCTTCCACAAAAACTGCAACATGTGCATGACAGGTATACCGCACAGGTGGCGAAGAATCTCAGCCACCCAAGACTGGGAAACACCTAGAATAAGCAAATTCAATAAATCTTGTAGAGGAGACCATAGCATGATTCAACATATACTCGGGTCTCGCGGTCAATCGGGATTGACATCTGACTCGAAGCTGTCTTCCCTGCTGCAAACAAGGCTGCACCCGATTAGCTTTACGGCTCCTTAATGAGATCTGTAAGGGTTTCTATGAGGGTACTATAACGGTAGATCCCTTCCCTAAGCCCTAGTAATGCTTCCAGCTTTCTGTGAACGTGCTGTACTGCAGCGAAGTGGTCGTGCGAATCCGTGACCTGCTCCTTCTACTTGGGCACAAGTAAACCTTAAAATCCAAAACCGAAAACACAAGCGAGCCCGCTTCCGAGTCATGTGGTTGGAAAGCTACCGATCACCCTGATTGAAACGCTGAGAACAAGGAAGTGAACATAAAACCTGCACCAATCGGATCTTCATTGCATGGACTCTTAAACTGCCTTAACTAACGGGATGCTTCTAATGAGGACTCCTGAATAAGGTCCTTCTGTTGTGTAAGAAAGCCCTACGTAGATACTCCTGAAACTGGAAGTTCGGCAGCAAAGGGTTTTCAAGATAATAACCGAGGGGTGTAGGGTTTGGGTTTAGGGTTTTGGGGTTAGGGGCTTGGAGTTTAGGATTTAAGGTGTGCGGCTTAGGCTGCAGGGTTTGAGGTTTTGAATGGAGCGCTAAGTGTGGGGTTCCTCACATTCGTAGTGAGTGGTCGTACTAAACCCGAAGCCCTACAGTAGAAGCCAGAAAGTTGGAATATCATTATCGTAACCCCTTTAAGGTAAATTATAGGGGATCCTACCATTAATCCATATTCCAACTTTCTGGAGTTCCCTTTAAGCCCTAAACCTTGAAGCCAATCGCCGGATCCTATGCTTTTCGCCTCAGACCTTCGAACTTCAGACAGCCACTGAGGGCCTAGGTAGGGTTTATGGCTTCGGATTCTGTATCATGCTAACTGGGCTTTAGGGCTTATGGTTTAGGGTTAGTATGGAGGACCCATTTAATTCTAAAAATGTATAATATATATATATATATATTGGAGACCCTGCTGCTGTTGCAATGTTACAGATTAATATACAGAGGCCGGACATCCCTTCTGATTTGACTTTACAATATCCCTTAAAAAACCCAGATCCTCGCTGTCAGAATCAGAAAGCCCCCGTGTATTAACCCCTAAACCCCAAAACCAGGGCTTCTTAATCAGGTTCCTACATTACACCTTGACGTAAACAGGGATCCTTAAATCTAATCTGCGGCGTGCACTACTCCGCATGTTATATCTCAGAGGTAGGGGAGTCGGTGTGATGCACTTGAGGCCTTTTTCCTGCCCCAGCGCTGCGATCAATCCGATCACCGCGCGAAGAAGTCCGAAGAACATTTCAAACGCACAAAAACTGTTAGGGGGAATCTTGTGAAAGCTCCCACCTTACGCCTCTCTGTGGACAGCGTTTGGTTTAAAAGGACCATGGCATGTACCCATGGTGATCGCAAATTGCGTTAGAAAACAAATTCCACCATGTTGTTCGCTTCTTCGGACCGTGGTGTGCCAGTAGACCTTGGTTTCCCAGCAGCCCTCTGCTTTGCAAGCGTACCCTTTGAGGGTTTCGGATTTAGGGTTTTCGTTCCTGCAACTCAGGCTTAGTAATTCCAATGAAAGCCTCCGAAACGCAAAAGGTAAAATTCAAGGGTAAAAGGAGGGACCCTTTAAAGGACCCCTAGGTATATACCCTTAATATAGCTATTATATACCCATTATATAGCCCCATTATCGGGTAGGGGTCCCCATTAAGGGTCCCTCCTTTTCCCCTTTGGGAAAAGCGTAGAAGCCGGATCCCAAAAAAAACAACGACTCGAACCCCCGAATATCTGCGCAGGGTTTAGGGTTTAGGGTGGGGAACTTGTTTAAAAAAACGGGTAGAACCGCTTCTGGGAGCGAAAGGCCATTGCCCAGAGACTCCAAAACCTCTAAACTAAGCAATACACCTTAACTCACTTCAAACCATACAACTTAAACCCTAAACCCTGAACCCTAAACCTTGACAACTACCGGAAAACTCAGGGGATCTTGGAGAGCTTGGATACTGAAAGACCCAGTGACCTCTCATCATCCGAAGTCTGGCTGCGATCGTCCGTGACATCAGCCACCAATGATTCCTTTAGGGTTTCGGGTTTAGGGCTTGGGGTCTCGGTGTAGAAATTCGGGTCCACAAAGGCATCTTCAGGTTATCAGGATGCAGGGTTTAGCGCTTGCAGGGCTTTAGAAACGACTGCAAAGCGCTGTACTTGGACTTAAGAAGCACTTCCGGGATGGATACATAGAGGTAGGGCTTTGGGATATATATATATATATATATATATATATATATATATAGTACAACTACACTTCTGTGCAGACTGTACAGTGACGTTATGGCTATCATTGCAATCTCTAGATCAGGCCGTAGGATTCATGATGGGGTTGCTGGGGATTGCGAGTTCAGGATGGAAACCCAGGGTTCAGGGTTTAGGGTTTAGGGTGTAGGGTTTGCACGTGAAATCACGTGTTGATGAGTCTCTCAATGCGATTGGATGAATCATCAAGGAACCTCCGGCGCAGTCACGATTCAGGCTGAAGCAGAAGCAAAAAGGTCCGTAGCAGCCCTGTTCGCCGGGCCATTTCGACCGCTCGATTGTTTCCACAAGCTGTTCGTACCTCTTGGGCACTCCAGACGTCACACGAGCTACCGGACTTTCATGGTAGCGGAGCCTTTGGAATTCTCCGAAGGCTCGAAACGATCCAGGGACCTCTACTGCTAGGCGATCGGCTCCCCTAGCAGGACACAAGTTCGGTGAAGTGTGCAAGGAGATCATGACAGAGATCTCACGCTCCAAGGATGGAGTGCCTATCTGGAATGGAGAGGCTTCTTCCTTCCAGGAATTCGAAGAGACGGCGATGATATGGGAACAGTCTATAGCGATGAACAAGAGGTATCTGTGTGGCCCCAAGCTCCTGGCGGAACTCACAGGTGCGGCAAAGCGCCTGGTGGCTGGGAAGCGACACGATTGGGTGTCACATCAAGGAGGAGTTCAGGAACTGATGCGACACCTCCGTGCGTGCTTGGGGAAACCATTGGTTTCTGATCTGACGGAACACTTGAACAGATACTTCAAGAACTCCCGGCGACGTCCCAACGAGAGCATGAATGATTATATCACCCGCAAATGCGAGGTGTACCTTCGGGCCTGCCAGGCCCTGCAGCGCGTCACTCCCCACCATGGAGGAAAGACGTCAGCTGCGCCGACGAGTCACGGCACGGGGGGATCGAGACGATCCAGCTGGGACTCCATGGCTACAGCTAACGGCGCAGAGGCAGCGACGGAGGTCCAGGCAGCGGCCCCGACCAACGAAGCCCAGGCTGATGAAGATGATCCCGACCAAGACGGCGACGACCCGTGGTCGCAGTGGCGACCGGAGCAAGCCTGGTGGGGGAACAATCAATGGTGGGGATCCTACTACGGCAGCTACAACAACTACTGGTCCGCGTCCTGGGAGTGGTCGCCACCAGCGTGGCATACCAGCTCCTATGACAGTCGGCCACCCGTGCCGGAGCTCATCCCGGACTTCGTGCAAGGATGGTATCTTCTGCAGGACTCAGGACTTGACCAAGGAGAACGCAATGTGATTTTGGCTGCTTTGGGAGGAGATTTTGGGCTGCAGAAGGTTGCGCAGGAACTGCGCAACCAGTGGGCGGGCCAGGATGGCCAAAGACGTCGAGATGCCGGAGGCCGCCAGAGCGGCTTCTGGGGCGAAGCTCCCGGGGACGAGGACGAGACGGAGACCTACGAGGATGTGGAGTTCGATCCTGAACAGGAACTCAACGATGAAGAGCATGCGATGTGGGCTGGGGCGGAGGACGAAGCTCAATCCGCCCTGGCAGCCATGGACCAGGCAAAGCGAACTCTACGAGCAGCGAGGGCCAGGCAACACAATGTCCGATTGTCCAGGCAGTACTATCGGCCCCAAGGACGTGGCAATCCAGGCGGAGGTCGAGGCCGAGGCTTGGGACCCCGCGACGATTCACAGCTTACCTGCTTGAGATGCGGGAAGCTCGGCCACCGTGTGGCCAACTGCCCACAACCGGCACAAAGCGCCAAGGTCACGGAGTCAGTTGATGCAACATCCTCGTTCATATGCTACAGCGACCTGGAACGTGAGGAAGCCTACGCCACCGGCCTCTCAACCACAGAGGCAGTGCGAAAAGGGATGGCAGTGATTGATGGAGGGGCAACTCGCACCCTCGCGTCAGTGCCTGCGATGGAAGCGATCATGACCCTCAATCAGAAGAAGCACGGCCACAACGGGGTGTCGGCCGTGGATCTTCAAGATCGCCCCGTATTTGGCTTCGGAAACGGGTCCGAGAACCAGTGTGCTTCCACGGTGCACCTCAAGATTGCCGCCAACGACTCCCCGGGCAACCTGAAGGTGCACTGCCTGGACCACGGAAGCGGGCCTCTTCTACTGAGTGTGGAATCACTACGTAAACTAGGAGCCATTGTGGATTTTGCTGAGGACATGATCTGTTTTAGAAACTTAGATGCACAAAAGATTGTGCAAGTGGAGCGTTCCACGACGGGACACCAGTTGATTTCTATGACGGAAGATTTAATGACGCGAGCTCGGGTTGCGAAGGCAGCCGTGCCGAGCTTGCGTGAGTACCTAGTCGCCGACGGCTAGGGACAACACCTCCGGCTTTCCAATTCCGCGGAAAAACCGGAGGGTCCCGTGACGATAGCGGAATCAGGGGTAGATGCCAATCCGACTCCCAGTGATGTACAGAGTACTGTGAACAGGAATGGTAATGGGGTTTTAGCTGCTAGTGAGAGTGCTAGTAAATCTGCTTCTCCAAGTGTGTATGTGTGTGATGAGACACCAGACCATGTGGAGCAATCTTCGTGTCAAGTGATCGCCTCCCCAGCTGCACCTCCACGAGTTTGTGGTTTGCAACATGGCCGTCAACCTCACCAAGCTCAACAACATGACGAAGGAGCAGCTCAAGAACTACTTGTACGAGGAGTTCCACGAGCATGCCTACACCAAGTGGACGAAAGCCGAAATCCGCCAGCGCTTGCTGGAACTTCACAACGTGAATGTGGAGGACCTTCACCGGGGCACGACGCTCACGGCGACCCAGCAAGCCATCCGCGAGGTCCACAAGGCCGCGAAGAAAAAGGTGGACCTGGTCAAGTTGTGCGAGGAGCAGTACAAGATGACGGTGGGGCGCAACGATACCATAGCGATTTTGGAGGCGCGAGTGATGAAGGTGATCTACGAGACCTACGAGCCGGAGGCCGAGGATGCCATCGGCTTCGGCAAGAATGGGCATCTCCAGTACAAGGACATGCTGGCGACCGAGCACGAGAACTACGCGCAGTGGGTAGTCACAACGGCCAAGGAGAATCCGACGACGGGATGCGACCCCCGCCTCTACCGGCTAGCGCGATGGTTGGGGAAGCAGGACCTCGAGGGCCGTGCGAAGATGACCAAGATGGTGACGCCAAAGGCGACCCCTACGAAGACGACAAGAGGCTATGTTTCTCCGACGGGGCCACGTGTGTCCCCATCGATGGCGAGCAGCAGCAGCGACCAGGTGGAGGCCCAGGACCGCAAGATCGAGGCCATGGCGGAGATCCTCTCCGACATCAAGGCGGAGCTGCGCGAGTTGAAGGGCGAGAAGGTTCGGAAGCAAGGCGGTCGTGCCTTGCCGGATGCCGAGATGTCCGAGGGGGCCCAGTCCGACACGTCGTTTTTCAAGATCAACACACCCCCGACCAAGGCAGTGACGCCCCGGGAGTGATGGCCGAGACAATCGGCACAGCAGAGGACGAGGAACCAGGTGAAACTCTTAGTGCGTCCCAGGCCCTTAGCCAGCAGCTTAGGTCAGAACGAGTGCCACATGAAGTGTTGAGTGAACAACAAGCCCGGAGCCTCGAAGCCAAAGCCTTGTCTGTTGTGCCGAGTTTGTTCCAAGACCTGGTGGGATATGATCGTCCTACTCTGCTACAGTACAGTGAAAGACCAGACACCATACTTTCCCAGGCGGTGCAAGAGCAAGCAAAAAGCTCAGACGCGGCAGTGCATTGTGGGCCGTGGAACGGCTGCGATTTGCTGACTAAGGAGGGACTGAGGTTACTTCTAGATCGCATTCGTATGGAACAACCTCAACATGTGTGGCTCGTTCCTCCCGCCGGCGCCTACAGCCCCCTGAACAATATGCAACAACAGACGGAGGCACAGCGAGACGAACTTCAGAGGAAGCGAGCAGAGGCGCTTCGACGGTATGTGGCCTGCGCCTGTGTAGTGCATCTGTGTGTTCAGTTGGGGATTCACGTTAGTTGGAAGATGCCAGAGCGAAGTCAGGCCTGGAGGCTACCATTGGTGAATCAGCTTCGTGATAAGTATCAGATGTATTCAGCTGTTACCAAGGGTTGTGCTGTGAACCGAAGGAGTGGGCCTGAAAAGGCTCTGGTGCAGCAGGGCTGGCGGATCCTCACGACCCACAAACAACTGTCCGAAAGCTTAAATCTGTGTTGTCGTTGCCCAAAGCACTACAAGCATGGATTGTGTGTAGGAGGCCCCAAGCAAGGTGACCTGAACCCGACGAAGGAGTATGCCCGAAGAATAGCCCGAAGCCTTAATCAGGAACTGTCGCATAACGCCACGCTCCGGGAGTGCGCAGGGCACACCGCTCTAGTGACCGGGTTTGGAGAGGGAGAGTTCTGCACGTGTGGTGAGGTGTGTCTCCCCAAGGTCCCCCAGGAATGTGCGAATTGTTTAAAGGGTCGTAACCAGCTTCAGGTTCAGGAGGCCCAGGCCCAGATGACGGATGATGGTGCTTTGGATGATGAACTGTGTCAGGAAGGTGTCGAGATGCAGGGCTATGAGGGAGATGTGTCCGGTGATGCCTACGTGGTTGGTAGCATTGGAAGGGAGGTGTTTTCAGAAGCCCAGGTTCTTGAAGTGGAAGAAAAGGCCCAGGACCTCCTTCAGAAACAACAGTACCAACACAAGTTCTGTGAACAATTGATACAGATGCTGCCCCACAACAAGCAAAAGACACACAGAGGGGTTATTGAAGAAGACCGTGTGAGGTATCTGACTTTCGGCTTGTACGCGTATGGTAACCACTATGGAGTGACGAAGTGCACCTTGAGATTTCCCCAGGTGTGTAGGTATCTGTTGTCATATATGCAACATTGGAACAAGGGTCCCGTGATCTGTACTTCTTTTGTCCTCAACGATAACGGAACCCTGCGACTCCATAAGGACCACCACAACAAACCCGGACACCTCAACCACTTGATAGGAGTTACGGCGTATCAAAAGGGTGGCCTTTGGATCGAAGGCCCACCCCAGAACAGCCGTCAAGAGACCCGTGCCCAGGAGTTGCCCAACGGGCGTTCGGTCCTGGGACACGTGCGCGAAACGAGTCGCAAGATGGTGCAGTTCGATGCCAAACAGTGGCATGCAACCGAGGCTTGGCACGGCAATCGAGTTGTGTTAAGTGCTTTTGTGAGTCGTGGTTGGGACAAGGTGTCTTCGGAAGTTCAGGGGCTTATTCGGAGATTCGGATTTGAGACTCCAGTGGCGAATCGGAAGGATGAGGCCATGGTGATCAAGGCACGAGGCCCATGGACAGGTCCCCTTAAGAATCACGGCAACAAAGAACACGAAGCCATAAAACGGAAACTGTACCTCCTTCATGCGGCAACGGGACATGGCAGTGTGCGACATATGGTAGATGCCCTGAAGCGGCGCAACGCGAAACCGCTAGTGATCCAACTGGCCAAGGAGTTTACCTGCTCTATCTGCCAGGAGAAAAGCAAGGTACAGCCACGACAAGTGGCATCCCTTGAACCCCTGCCCCCAAAGTTTCATACGATCTCGGCGGATATAGGACATTGGATGCACCCGAAAACCCACGAACATCAGAATTTCATGGTGGTGATGGATGAAGGGTCTCGTTTTCGGATTGCCAGGGTTCTTACGAGAGGCCAGAAGCAAACCCCGAGTGGACCGTTGTGCACGAACTACATGAGTGAGGGATGGTTTCAGATCTTTGGCAAACCGAAGACCCTGAGGCTCGATCCGGCAGGGAGCTTTCGCGGGGAACACATGTCAAGTTTCTGTGATCGCCATGGTATTTTTCTTGACATTATCCCGGGGGAAGCTCACTGGCAAATCGGGGCCACCGAGCAAGCAGTGCAAGGTTTGAAACAGCTGATGAGTAAATTGGCGGAAACCGATCCCGAGGTTACAGCAGATGAGTGCCTGAGCATAGCAGTGAGCACGTTCAACCAGAGAGAGATGGTGCGGGGTTTTTCGCCGACCCAGCATGTGTTAGGACACAGCCCAGACCAGACAGGCCGACACGTGGCAGCGACTAGAGCGGTGCTTGAGGAGCCCATCCTGAACAATTCGGTCGCAGAAATGCGACGAGAAGCGCAATTGCGCGCTGAGGCAGAGAAGGCCTTAGCTGATTGGACCGCTCAACAGAGAGTGACACGGGCCCTCAACTCCCGGACGAGGCCGCTGCAACAGTATCAGCCAGGGGACTTGGTGTACTTCTGGCGCACGCAGGAGTCAGGACAAGGGAAAAGAAGCCCAGGCACGAAGCAAGGCCGATTCCTGGGCCCTGCACGCATCCTGGCGATGGAGCCCAGGAGGACTTCGGAGGGCGATCAGCGCCCTAGCCATGCCGTGTGGTGCGTCAGAGGACGCCAGTTGATCAAGTGCAGCCCGGAACAGCTTCGGCCCGCGAGCCAAAGGGAGGAGCTAGTGGAGGCGCTGTCAGAGGACCAAGGAACACCTTGGACCTTTAGCCGGCTTACGCAAGAGTTAGGGGGCAACCAGTTTGAGGACATCAGCAGCGAGGTGCCTGACGACACCGAGTGGCAGCGGGCACAAGACGTGTCCCAAGAAGTGGCACCGACACGGTACCGTGTTTCGCGGAAACGGCCTCCTCCCACAGGCGAAGAGGCTGAGATCGACGAGGAAGGCATGGACGAGCTCTACGTGCGGGAGCCCGAGACGGATCCTGTAAATTTCGTGAGAGGTGGTGCCACGTCCTCCCGCGGAAATCGGAGGACCGAGATCGAACGAGGCTACTGCTGGTGGAACGAGATACCTGAGGCATCATGGCAAGCCTCAGAGTCTTCCTATTGGACGGACCAACAGGCAGCCGTCGCAGTGGAAGTGGACTTGCCACAAGGGACCAAGAACGTCAATCACGCCACTCGGGACTTGGGAGCCTATCTGGCCAGCGCCCTGAAACGCAGGGCGGTGGAAGTATCCGAACGACGACTGACAGCCCAGGAACGCGAGCAGTTTGCCGCTGCCAAATTGGTGGAGGTAAAGAATTTCCTGGCTGCCGAAGCGTTCGAAGCATTGCCAGAAACGCTGAAACCGAATAGGGATCAGGCCGTTGGGATGCGATGGATACTGACTTGGAAAATGCAAGATTCAGGGCAACCCAAGGCGAAAGCCCGAGCAGTGCTGCTCGGATACCAAGACCCTTCATACGAACATAGAGCAACCACGGCACCCGTAATGACGAGACAGACGAGGCAATTATTATTGCAACTGGCTGCTAATAGAAGATGGAGGATTATGAAGGGCGACGTGAGTGGGGCATTCCTTCAAGGGAGAGCTTATCCTGATGAACTTTATTGCATTCCTTGTCCAGAAATCTGTCAAGCCATGGGCCTGCCAGCAGAGTCTGTAACGCGCCTTAAAAAGGCATGCTATGGGCTGGTGGACGCGCCCCTTGAATGGTACAAGACTGTATCCACTTACCTGGAAAGCTTAGGCTTGGAAAGATTGTGGTCAGATGCTTGTGCATGGGTTTGGAGAAAAGATGGACAGCTGCGCGGGATGATATCAGGGCACGTGGATGATTTTATCTTTGCTGGATCTGATTCTGATAAAGAGTGGCAGGGAATCCTGGAAAAGATCAAGGCTCATTTCAAATGGGGTGATTGGGATTTGGATGCTTTCACGCAGTGCGGAGTGCAAGTGGAAACGACTAAGGATGGTTTTGCCCTATCCCAACCCAAGTACTTGGAAGGAGTCAATGAAATCCACGTCAATGCGTCTCGAAGGAAAACCAGGCAGGCCACTACCACGGAGCGAGAACGTACTCAGCTGAGGGGCCTACTCGGGGCACTCAGTTGGCACAGCCAACAGGTGGCACCGCACTTAGCTGCCGATGTGAGCATGTTGCTTTCGGAGGTCTCCCAATCTACAGTGGAGACCATGATTAAGGCCAACACGCTTCTACAGCATGCCAAAGCACGCCAGGACCATCAACTAAGGATACACAGATGTGTGTCCAACGAGATGGTGTTGGTTGCTTGGGTAGACGCCGGGAGCCAAAACCGGTGGGATGGTGGTAGCACCCAAGGTGTTATCATCGGCGCCGCTCCCTCAGGACTGTTGAGTGGCGAAGTGGCCCCAGTGTCACTGATAGCGTGGCACTCCAATAGAATTGATCGAGCATGCAGAAGTCCAGGTGCCGCTGAAACTCAAGCGGCAGTGAACGGGGAAGATTCCCTGTTCTATGCCAGGTTTCAATGGAGTGAGATGCTGTACGGCAAGATCGATCCTCGCGACCCAGATGCCGCTGTACGACGCGTACCCGGTTGTTTGATTACAGATTCGAGAAATGTCTACGACAAGCTGATCAACGAAGTCGTGAGTATAAAAGGGGCAGAAAAGCGCACCAACATTGAGGCCTTAGCACTCAAGGAGTCACAACAGAAGACGGGCTTGATCGTTCGGTGGGTCCATTCTGAAGCTCAGTTAGCTAATTCGCTAACAAAATCAGGAGGGAAGAACGAGATCGAGCTGTTCTACCGGCTACAGCAGCACTGGAGGATCGTGGAAGATCCAGACATGAAGTCCGCTCGACGACGCAAGGAAGCAGGACTCGAACCACTTGCACATACGGAGAAGCAGATTTTTCATAAGTCAGGGGAGCCTGAAAGCAGTACGGGGAGTCGGGACCGGGGGCCATGCACGTGAAATCACGTGTTGATGAGTCTCTCAATGCGATTGGATGAATCATCAAGGAACCTCCGGCGCAGTCACGATTCAGGCTGAAGCAGAAGCAAAAAGGTCCGTAGCAGCCCTGTTCGCCGGGCCATTTCGACCGCTCGATTGTTTCCACAAGCTGTTCGTACCTCTTGGGCACTCCAGACGTCACACGAGCTACCGGACTTTCAGGGTTTAGGGTTTAGGGTTCGGGTTTAGGGTTTAGGGTTTAGGGTTTAGGGTTTAGGGTTTGGGTTTAGGGTTTAGGGTTTAGGGTTTAGGGTTTAGGGTTTAGGGTTTAGGGTTTAGGGTGTAGGGTTTAGGGTTTAGGGTTCGGGTTTAGGGTTTAGGGTTTAGGGTTTAGGGTTGGTGCAGGGTTCATTCAGGAATGCTCCATCACAAGTACACATCGCGGTTACCCTGAACCCGAATCCCGCGGTTAAAGCCGGGCCTGTGCATGGAGATTCTCAAGGGCTGGCTGGAAACTGCCTCGACGCAGGGTTTAGCGTTTAGGGTGCAGGGTTTCTTTTTTTTGAGGGCCTTTTTGCAACTGCACTAGTCTGTATCCGTCGCAGCCCATAGGGTGCAGGGTTTAGTGCTTGGGGTTTGGGTTCAGGGTTTAGGACCTCGACGCAGGAGCTGATCTTCGTTCTCGTCTTTTGGAGCAGCCGTGACTGGATCCTCGGCGGCCCACTGCAAGCGATTCTCTAAGGGTTCTGGGATATAGGGACCCTAAACCCTAAACCCCTAAACCTTGATCATCAGAACACGGTTTGGGGTACAAAGCACCAGAATGACGGAGGGACGGCACTTTGTGGGGATAAGTTAAGTAAAGCAACCTCGGAACTGCAATTTTAATCAGGAGTCCATTGAATCCACACTCATCATGAAGACACCGAAGAAACACTAGTCTTAATGATTTAAGCTCCCGGGCACTTTAGGGTGTTCAGTTGGTTTTGGTGGATTTTTGAAGGATCTTTTGACGCCCCGACCCAGACCCTGCAAGAATCCAAAAAGTAGATCCCATAACGGGGTTCTGGTAGAGTACCCTGTAGTAGTATGGGGTCCCTACGTTTGTAACCCTACTGGGGTCTGGGAGGTTTCGGAAGTTCCGACATACCTCGAGCCCTCAGAGAGGATCCTTTGTCGAGGGGATTTAGGGTTTAGTGTTGAGGTTATAGGGTTTACGGCTGAGATATCAAGAGGTCGAATAGATTTAGGGCTGCAGATTCGATGACGGAACCCCTCCGCAGCGAACACCCAACTACTCTGAATCTTGCAACCGGAAGTCTAGCAAACCTGTACTATCTTACGATATATATATATATATATATATATATATATAACATAGTATATTGCAGTATATTACACCGTCACATAGTACACTATATCATTGTAGAAAGCCTGGACAGAGCCAAGCGTCCTGATATCGGTGGATTCGCGACGCGATCTCCGCCACCTGCCTCTCTTGCAGACCTTCTGATGCTAGAGGTGTGAATGGCAAGGCCAGCACTGTGCACAAGTTTCGAAAAACCTGGGCCGGGATGCAGTGAGCAAGAACCTAGAGAGCCCAATACCCCTCAATTCAGGAATATTCCTTAAACTATATTAGGGGTCCTGCTAAAATTGGTCAGGCGAGGGGGCTTAGGGTTTCCAGAGGGCTGAGAATCCTCAGGTCCCCATGCCGGTCCCCAAAGGGCTGCATAGAGGATTCGTTTTTCTTGTTTTGGTCTAGATAAAGGAGCCCATATCCAACCCTCAGACGACCCCAATCAAGGATCCTGTGTGCTCTACAACATGGTCGCAACCGTCCGTCGCAAAGCGTTGAGCGTTAGGAAGGTCTCACAAGGGTTCTGCAAGGAGCTCTATTCAGTGCTACAGTGCTGCTACGACGATCAACAATTTCGAAGACTATCATCGTTACTAGAAGTGTAGCTTTCTGTTCGTACTATCATGAAAGTATCGTTATTGCTCTCGTGTTCTAGATATTCATTGTTGCTATCTCGGGTGCAAACGTGCCCGACCACCCAGCTTACAGATATTGAAAAGTTGTTTTGCCGATGGTTTCCAGTCCACTCATTGCTACCATTCCTATCCCCAAATAACAGACAATCTTATAAGTTCTCCTTTTGACGAGGCTGTCTTATGAGAAAAAACCCTCCTGCTTTCGCCAGCTTGTCAACACCCTCCCAAATCCGAAAAAATGTAAGCCCTGGACCCCAAGACCATCAAGCTCTATATCCCGAATCCCTAGTTCCAAGCCCCCAAAACCTAAATGACTTCAACAGGACCTATTGGCTTTACGGCAAAGGAGAAAACCCCTAGAGTAGAGGGCTTTGGAAAGCTCTCTAGCATTTTGTTCTGGTGTATAGTAGAGTATGAATTTGGTACCGAAACCCTGAACCTTAATCCCTGAATCCTAACCCTAAACCCTAAATCAACAACTCTGAACACTAAACTCCAAAGCCTAAACCCTCCACCCTAAGCCGTAGATTCCCAAACAAAATGTACTTCATTCGCAAGAAGGAGCCTGATCCTGGTGTGCCGGCCCACCAGGAGGAGCACGGCAGCCGAACTTCTTCTTCATACTATCCTGAGTTTAGGGTTTAGGCCTTTGGGTCTTACAGGATGTTATACGCTGGGACGTGGGTTTTAATACAGTTCTTGATAGTTGCATATGGGGCTTGAAGAATCTGATACGGTTATACAGGGGTTGCAATGCGATACGGTTTTGTAAGGGTTGCACTGCCTTCAAGATGTGACCACACATGAATGCAAATCTCCCAGGAGTCCCAGGAGCCACCTAAAAGCAAGACCACCTTCGACCTAAAGCCCCCAAACCATAAAATCGTAAACTCCAGGCCCCGAAAACCCACAAAACTATGCTCAAAAACCTTGAAAACCTGAAGCCCAAGCGGGCTCCCAGCGTGCCACCTCGCGTCGACGTTTGGAACTTCGAAGTTGGAGTCGGCAACCTAATGGCAGTCATAGGGTTTAGGTTTCTTTGTTGCACAGGCTTTGGGTTGAGAATTTAGCTTTGAGGGTTTAGGGCCCGGGTTTAAGCCAGAGTTCCGAGAGACTCCGCAACCGCTCCACTCAGGACGAGACTTTAAGTAGAAACCCTAAACCCCTAACCACACCAGCTCTGTCATTTAGGGTGCATTGCTTTCTTGTGGGCTTTAGGAATCCCTGGGCCCGAGGTTTAGGTTAATGAATTTAAATGTAGGCAAGGGTTTAGGGCCTAGGTTAGAGGTTCAGGGTTCGGGTTTAGCCCACGATAAAGTACGGAGCTATCGTAGTCTCTGACGACCCTTATGAAACCCTTCCAAAATCCGATAGGTCTCTCACGCAACCCAACTTAAAATTTAAGAGTTGCGAGAAAAAAAGGCTCCTTATACGAGAAAATACTTCCTGCGGAGATCCGGGTAGCCACTGGCACCAATTCCAAGGCCCGTTTTGACGAGGTACAAGTCTGAGTAGCATACCTGGGTTGGTTTCATCGGGGTTAAGGATTCGCGTTTAGGGTTGGTTTTGTATGGATTCTGATCGGATTCGTTTACAGCTGTTTCGAACGCTTTCCGCTTCTGCCGGTGCTCTGTGTAGCTTTCTTGGTTAGGGTTTAGGGTTTAGCACTTGGGGTTCAGGGCTAAGGGTTGAGCGACTTGAATAGGGCTTGGGTTTCGGGTTAAGAGGTGAGCGCATGGGGTTTAGGACGCTCTTCAATGCAGCCGGCAAAACCCGAGGCTTCCATAAGAGCTGATGTTCTAGAAGGGTTCGTCAGTGGTCTCAGAACCTCAACGACGTAATCAGTATAAGAAATCCGCGTTTTACGATCGCTTCATATTTCGGTACGTTGTCCAGTTTCTTAGCAGCTGCCCAGATGCAGGAGAAGCTTGATGAAATCTTCGTCCCGGAGGATGCCACGGAAAAGCAAGGCAATGAGGTAGTAGGCAAAAGGCTTGCATGTGGCAATCTGCTGAAAATCGTGCACAACCTCGCACTCGACATGGAGGTGTGCTTGTAGAAGAATTTGAAAGACCTCGCAAGCGGACAAATACTCTGCCTCCATATAGGAGCTCAAAATGAGAATCCGGGGTCGTGAGACATGTCCGGCCGTCTTGCTCGTCGTTCGACGAGACGACAATCCACAGACGTTCATAAGCTCCACGACCACCTTTTCCCTGCCACAAACCTGGCAAGTTCTAGCTGTGAGCATGCCGTTCTATGTGAGCGACTGGCACCGGACATGATCCAATTCAGCTACAAACGGGTGCTGGGCGTTTAGGGCTGAAGCTTAGGGTTTAGGAGCCATGAGCCTGTCAGAAGTCTGCCACGCAGCAAAATAGATGTCACAAGTACGACAACAGTTATGACGAAGACACATCATAAAAAACATTCATCACTTAGGAAAATAAGCGACCCCAACATGCAACCCTGCATAGCAGGATCTTGATTGCAACGACCCCTAGTTTTCGAATCCACTGAAACCATATAAAGCCTGTTTATAAATGTCACAAACCCCTATAAGCGTCTATCAAACGCTGAAAGAGCCCCTAAAAAGCCCACGCCCTAAACCCAAGCCTTCAAACACTTCTGAGATCCTCGCTGGACCAAAGCGGGCCATTTGGAGAGGAGTTAGCTCATGCTGCAGCCATGAATAAGCCTCGGTTGTAGGGTTAAGGGCTTAGAGCTTTCGGGGTTTACGGTTCAGGGTTTTTGCCTTGTAAATTCCTAAAGAGTGCTTTGTAGGATTCTATGAGGATAAAAAAAGCTTCTTTCAAGGGTTCCTAAAGGATCCTAGAGGTAGGTTTGGGCTTCAAGTCTTTAGGGCCTCAGGGTGCACAAGCCTCGGTTCTAGGCCTATTCTTGGTTTTGAGGCTTCGAGGCTTTAACGCCTACTGTAGGGTTTAGGGTTTAGGGTTTCTGGCGGTGGGGCGTTAAGGCGTTCTCTGGTTGCCCGCGCAAGGGCCCCGACAAGCCTTGATATAATATCTGTGCAGAGACACCTCTTCAACAGACTATGACCCAATTTGCATCAAAAATCTCCCACTGTGCCACCGAGGGTGCCAAGTTCACATCATCAAGCTGGATCCCGTAGCTTGCCAATTGTGCCTGGGCTCTTGTTAAGGAACCTCGATTGTGCTAACAATGTAGGCACACACAAGGGCTTTTCTGTGGGTGCTATGAGGCTCCTATAGGCGATAAAAGGAGGCAGATAAACTGACTAACCCCCAAACCTGCACCATGTTCCCCTTAAATCCAAACCCTACACCCTGTTCCTTCTTTTTGTGACTTGAACAAGACTCCTTAACAAGCGCCTGGGTACAACTTGGTGAGGCGTCCAAAGTGAAGGGATCTGCTTCTGTGCCTCGCAACCAAGCAAACACAATAACGTGTGCTTTCAAGAAAGACGTGCGTGGGTTTGAGATTTTGTTAGGCTTTCGGCTTTAAGATTTGAGGCTTAGGAACCCTCCAGACGGGCCGCATAGGGGAATAACTCTTCTAGTATGTTGAGAGCGTTAAGTTGTTGGGATTGGGATTCCCTTACATGACCACAATTATGGGTTTAGGGTTTGGGGTACCCGTATGCCTCGTCAGACAGCCTTTCGAAACCTTCGCAGAGCAAGGGCACCGTGTGAATGTCATTCTTCCAGGCGGTTACGATCTCTCCCGCACACCAGCCTGTAGGGCTAGTTCCGCGCTTTTTGTTCCTTCTTAAACTGTTCATAAGGAGAGACTATACTAGACTTGAAGATCAAATTGCCCAGCAACTTCTAGACAGCAGCTCTCCGGTGAGCACCACGACCACGTTCTTTGTCGATGTCCGGATGATGTCAAACAACAAGTCGAGGTTCTGAAGCTGGTCGCTGTCCAAGAACACCTACTGTAGGCCATACAGCAGCGCCGTCACAACAAGGATAAAGTTGTCCCATTCATCTCTTTAGAAGGGAGAACCTTCAACCCCAAACCCTAAACCGTAAAACCCAAACCGCGTCCCCTAAACCTCAGGTCGAAGGGTAGGACTGAAAAGTCAAGCCGCCCGGGCGGAAGAGTGCTGCAGAATCACGAGCTTCATCAAGCGGCTCAAGCTCCCACCCCCTGCCTTGTGGTGACCTTACTTAAACGCTCATGGGACTTAGTAAGTAAGGGTATAAGTAGGTGATCAGAAGGATAACCCCACTTAGGGGACTTATAATCCCAATGATAACCTACTTACTCAGTCCCAATGAGCCTTTAAGTAGTGCTCTTTCTGGATGTTACCAGTGATTTATCTGGTTTTTGGCGGGGTTTCCTGCAAGTTTTTTTAATGATTTGAAAAGACGTAAGAAAGGAGCCGCCATGAATCTATGTTGAGGTCTTACGGTTACCTTTGTGTTTTCCCTGTGTCCGACCAAGAACGGAGCAATTAAGATGCTGACATAGGAAGATGTCGTAGAGCTTCTCCCTCTTCTGCCTGATGGCCTTGGATGTTGCTGAAATGTTAAACAACACGGTCAACCCTAAACCCGAAACACTACTATCCCACTGCCCCCCAAGCGTGCACCCGCCCCCACAGCTATACTTTGCGGATCGGGTTTTTGAGGCTTAGGCAGCGATTCAATGGCAACCATGGAGCCTTCACCGCGAGTCTCAGGAAGCCAAGAAGAACCACAAGCAAGATCGACAGGATGGGCACCTGGGGTTTCCCCTGGTATGATAAGTTTAGGGTTACACCCATTTTGATCGGGTTGTCCCTGTGAATAAAGAAGCCCCAAAAAAAGAGTGGTAAAAGGATACTGCGGTGGGACAAAGCTGCACAAAGAAGCCAACCGAGCACGGCCGTGGACGAAGCCTCGTCCAGTAGCAGCAGAGGACCGGCACTGAGCAGAGTGACCTGAGGCTTAGGGTGTAGGTTTCGGTTTAGGGCTTAGGGTTTTGTAGAGCCGTGCAGGGTGTAAGGCGTTTAAGCTTGGGGATGAAAAAGAGTGTTATAAGGGTTCTGGACCTCCCAGAAACCCCCATGTTAAAGATCTCTGTATTGTTGAAGGTCTACGTTGCTTAATGACAGGGATTTGGAGCCACTGCAAAAACAGTGCCGGCTTAATACTAAAACGGAAGCAGCCTCAAGACCAGCCAAGCAACGAGAAGAAGGTCCGTCAACAGCATGTCGACGCGATTGGCCATTTGTGTTCGCCATGGCGCAGTTTGCCTAGGTTCCCCCATATCTTCTTCATGGTAAGGGCTGCGCAGTTTTGACAAGGTGAACCCGCTTGAACAAGAGCAAAAGGGTACTACGGTTGATGATACAAATCCTGCATTACCCATACAAGGAACATACCATAATTTCCATAGTCTGGGGCCATCAAGGTAATGCAGGATATCTATCATCAACCGTACTGGGGCGCCAGTTGCAAGGACAGGTTCTGGACAGCCAGCAACATGATGCCCATTAACGGTACTTGAACTTCCGGCACGCCGACCAGAACCGTAGGCAGAAGAGCGATGATAGCATTGCGGTAGAGGAGGACCAAGCCGTAGTAGTAGGACCTAGCTCATGGTTGGCATAGTATTTAAAATCTAATTTTGCATTCCTTATTGGGTTTAATCAAGTACTCATAAGTATTCTATCCACCTATGACAAAGGGGCGAAGGCTTGAACCTGTGAAGAAGGAAACGGTATCGCGTGGAGAAGCGAAGCCCCTTGCCACCGGCTACACGCGATGGATACGTGAAGATGACGTAGGTGGCCAACACCAGGATAGCCAAGGGCTGAGTCACAACTCCTCACAACAATGTGGAAAGATTCGGGATTGCACCCTAAGCCTCAAACCTTGAACCGTAAACCCAAATCCTAAACCCCTAACCCCAACCTACACTTTCAAACCTTAATCCTAAACCTTAAGTTGACTGGAAACCCAAGACCCTAAATATTGGGGCCGTACTAGTAAAATAAGGTTTTGGGGCCCATTGTACTATGCTTATAATAAGGAACCCTCACAATAGTATTGTTTAGGCCCCTATATCAGACGGATTAGGGTTTAGGGCTTAGGGTCGAACTGTCAACCCAAAACCGAACCCCAAACCCGCACACTCCCTCCACTCCAAGCTTAAACCGGAAACTCGGACTCGAAACCCCTAAACTCCAAACCGAAACCTAAACCTCACAAATCGGGAAGTGTACTTAGTTTTAGGGTTTAGGGGTTTAGCTTTTTGTTCGTTTGGATTAGGATGTTGTCTTGCAAGCAGGGCTCCTACCACAGAAAGTGCAGCAAAGAGGGCATGCTCCTCCGATTGGTAGCCTGGGCTGTTGCTCAAGGTTCAGGTGCGTTTACGGCATAGCCTAAAAGTCTCATGATGACTCTATAACATGAAAACCAAGGTTTTTGGAGGAACGTAGTTTAACTTGCCATACTAGAGACACACATTCATGATGTATATGTATGCACGGATGATATATGATGCATACATATATACGTGTGTATATACATAATACATGCTTGTCTGGTTATAGTGGTTTAAATAAACTGCCTGAACAAGAACCCAGCAGCAAATGATGCCCGGGTGCAGCATCATTGAGCTAGTTCCATTTGGGTTCTCGACACACTGAAATGGAATCAGGGTCGCGCGGGTGATGGACAGGAAGAAGGCAAAGATCATCACTCCACACTGATTCAACACCGTGTTGAATGGCTTGTGACGTCCGAGCATCTTCTGCAGGACCCAAGCACACAGTAGCAGAGCACAAGCCACCGGGCATGTAAGCAATCGGCCGACAAAATAGAGTACGGGATTGTCGGTGCCGAAGAAGCAAGAAGTGCGGATGAAATGGAAGTCGAACATCACCAGCTTCGTGAGGTTGATAAGAGTCGCCACTGGCTCCTGCCCCGTGATGCCTTACAACAGGTTTACCCTGAAGGAAGATCTTTGTTTCTCATGCATCCCTATCATTCGCCAACACCCTTCAAACCCACAACCTCAGAGAAATCTGAATTCCGCTTAACCATAAACCTCACATTGAATCAACTTCGACAAACCCACTTAACTCCAAACCCCCAACCGTAACCACTTCGAAACTCACCGGCTCCTGCCAGTTGATGGACAGCTCGCCTGGGTGTCGATATCAACATCCCCCCCGGTTTAGGGTATAATCGTTCTCCAAATAAACAGTAAGGAAACTGACAACCAGACCCTAAACCCTAAGCCCTATTGAAAAGTAAAGCATGCTAGGCTGAACTCAAAACCCTATACCGTAAGATTAGCAATTGCTCTCCAGGAATTAGAATCGGTTCTCGTCACTTTTAAAAGCCCTTAAACCCTAACACTGAACCCTAGTCGCAAACCCTCAAATCCGTACCTAGTCTCGGATCGAACCCAGGGATTGGATGGCCATGAGCAGCTGGCTGGTCAGTGAGGCCGCCGTGACGGTATTCAGACCTTCAGTTCAGGATTTAAGGGTTTAGGCTTTTAAGGGGGGTGTAGGGCTTAAGGGGTTAAGGGCTTAAGGGGTTAAGGGGTTAGGGTTTTATGGGTTTAGGGTTACGGGTTAAGGGTTTGGGGCTTCAGGGGTTCAGGGCCTAAGGGGTCAAGGGGCTAACTTTGGGGTGGAGTGGCTTAAGGGGTTTAGGGTGTAGGGGTTTAGGGTGTGGGGCTTATGGGGTGAAGGGGTTAAGGGTGCGGGGATTTCGGGTTTAAGGGTTTAGGGTGTTGGTAGGGTTTGGAACTGTCGAGCTGTAGAAGCATTTTGTCATTCAAAAAGGTCTTGCTGGGTTGCAGAGCTTTTGCAAGAGTTCTTAACGCTTTATGATTTTCTGATTGTAGGGTTTCTGGTTCAGAGTTTAGGAGTTTAGGGTGTAGTTTTTTTTCTGGTTTACGGTTGTTGGAGCCATCACTGAGGAGAGCCACATATTACTGCAATATCGGCAGACTTTGTAAAGCGCGAACTCCAAACCCCAAACCAACATCACGATAATGACGCTGCAATCTCTATCCAAACAACACCAGATGGTTATATATCCTCGATAATCTTCGTCACGTGACCCTACTCGAGGAACTACGTAGATGATCCCGGGCTTGCGCAGAAGACCACCCAAAACTACTGCCACTTTCGAATTGGGTTATGCTGCAGAACAACATTGCAATAAATCTGCGAAACCAATTCGACACAATTTTGCGAGACACTGGGAGTCATGTCGCAGTCATGTCACGTGCATATCAGAGGTTTCAATGATTTGGGTTTCATCGTATGTTCGGGCCGCAAGAACAGCAGCCCGGAACCCCCGACACCGAAACCTATTTTTTGGCGGAGTTTGTCTCTGATGTAAGCCCCTAAACCCTGAACCCTATATAAAACCCCAGCCTTTGATGCAGCAAGGCACTCACTTGACTTGGATCCCAATTGGAGTTACTCACGAAGGCGAGGAGGGCAAGCAGCATAATCAAGAGCAAGATGACCGGAAGAGCACCCCCCTCACGACAACGTTCACACGTTGAGCCTGGGGGGCAGCCACAACCCGTATAGCCTTTTTTGCGG